TAACCTTTACTTGAGTTTCATTAATTTCAAACAGACTTGATACGTTATATGTTCCTCAAGAAAATTATCTTTTGGTTGATGTTGAGATGCAGTTGCATTTAAGCCTATTCGAAACACTTTGCGATTTACAAAGCTTCGCTGAGAGAGCGAAACAGAAGACGGTATTAAATTGCCGTTTGAAACGAAACGATCTGGACTCTGAACGCTCTCTTCTTTTGTAGAGTTCTTTACCAAATGAAATAACTGAAATAAATTTCGTACTTTCCGCCGCCAACAAGAATTGCACACATGATCTGATAAGTGAGACAATTTATTTATAACAATGGCAACAGCGAAGCACACATTATAAATGCTAATGTGGTCGTACGACTTCCCTCACGATTTGAAGTTTGAGACTGGTTTTCTGTTGAAATTCGCCCTAATTTGCCTGTTCCGATTTTAGTTGAAAATGAGCACTTGCAAATTTGGCAATTACTGACTGCGTTGCTTGCTTTTTTGGAGTTAAAACGCAGCCATGTACACATTGTTTATGTTCTGAATAAGCAGAGAAAACCCCGCACATTTTAATGCGAGTTTGTTTGTTAATATTTGGGTGCTGTCATTGGTTCTTTTTTGACAATTGACGCGCGAATGGGGCGTGTTATGAAAAGGGGCGTTTTACAAAATACCGGGCCTTGCTTGCAGGCCCACTATCAGTTCCCTTGGGCCTGCACGCGGGCTAGTTTAAATTTGAAAGTATTAGTTTTAATTACATTCCTAATAAATCCGTATTTTATATAAAGTTGAATATGTGGTCAATAGATTATAGTAAACAATCCTAGCTTCTTTGGCTTTGGACTTTGCTATTAATAAAAGAGATGTCTAAAGTAATAAAATAATGCACACTAAAGCGAGTATTAAAATATAAGTTAGTATAAACATGAAATCAACAACATTAAATAGGGAACTTTAGAACTGATTCGCTAGGGCTACGAATTAAATCTGGTACGACTACGAGATTTTTTCGGTTAAATATCTGCTGCTACAGACTTTCTATCGCCCTTTCTTTTGCATACCCTTTCTTTATGGCCTCTTTATAGCAACAGTTACGCCAAACCATGTACTATATATAATACAGTAGACACCGCCTATGATAGAAACATGACAGTCGATACTAAAGTGACGAAAAACTGTATATTTCTACTTCCAAAGCAAAATATTTTGCACTGGCACTTCAGGTAAAGCGAAAAGTACAAGGTGTGTATGATTTCGCACAAATAAACCGTAAACAAACATCAAACTATTAAACTAACTCACGGGAAGCTCTTAATCATAATACTATTTATATTAAATGTTGCCAATGTTTGTCTGAGTCTTCGCGGGGGGTCGAATTTTCGTGACGTCAATTGCGGACAACGCTATTGATACTGATTTCAAATGATTAAAGCCATGTAATAATTATCCCATGCAACTGTTAGGAAGGGCGAAATTTTGAACGGAGGACGAAAATCCTAAAGAAAAGGTGAAGTTTCTAAAGGGGGGCGAATTTCCTAAAGGGGGGCGAAATTCCTAGGATTTTCGCCCCCCTGGGGGGGCGATATTCCTAGGAATTTCGCCCCCCGGGGGGCGAAAATGTAGGGGGCCGAAAATCCTGGGACACCGGCACGCGGATATATTTTGGGCGAATTTTGTTATTCCCTCACGGATTTCAGAGCGAATTTAAGCTCTTTGATTAAAGCATCGTTGTTTTGAGAGTTATACGGTATCATTCTTGCAGGGGACATCGATTGATTGTGAAAGAAATGCATTAAAGGCGAAAAATCGAGGATAGTTTCGTGTGACATATGCCAGTCTGGGCTATTTTGGTCTCAATGTTTCCTTCCTTCCCTCGTTATAAGGAAGGCACAGGCGGGCGCGGCCAAATCGAGCCTGGGCCTCCTGTGGTTTTATATTTCTTCTGACACAGCGAAAAAGTCAAGATCTTTTCGGCTTTTTTCCCGAGATTGCATGTTAACAATTTTTTAGGGATTTTAAGGTTTTTAAAGCCCCTTTTACACTACGCTCAATGTTTGGTACGGCACGGATAAAATTGGTACCCGTACCACTATGCCACGTTTTGGTTCTTGGACTACCTAAATAGGTAGTCCAAGAACCAAAAAAGTGGCACGGGTACCAATTTTGTCCGTGCCGTACCGAAAATTGAGCGTAGTGTAAACGGGGCTTAAGGTACCCCCTTTAGGGATTTTGTTTCGAGGGGTACGGGATATTTGGGGTGATCTCACGTTCAATCTATACACAGTAAAGTACATACATACCTGTTATTTATAGATATGACGTTTTTGGGAAAGTCGTGATCACGGAATATTGTCGCCACGATTATAGTCAGACACAAGTTTGTAAGAATACCCACGGCCATGAGAACGCTAAACAAAATGTGAAGCAAAATTTTTTGAGATGAATACCATTTAGGGCTAAAATCATCGTAACTTGGATCAATAGGTATAGTTGACCTGTGTCATGGACCCCTTGTCACGGACAATGGATCTGGGATAATATACTTCCAGTATCATTTGCCTAGGCAGCCTAATCTCTGTCATTCTGAACTTAGCAGGCAGAACCAAACTAATCAATCGTGGACAAAACTGTTAATAAAATAAATCGAAATTTTAGGAAATTACATTCAAATTACTTCCCCCACATTTTCTGCACGTAATTCAACAACATTGCATGTGTTGGGGGAAAGGGGACGTTTTAGCAAGGATACAGGAATCAAACTACAATTTAAACTTTCAACACAGTGGCAAATTACAATTTTATTAACAAGTTATGTCCACAATTATGGTTACCCCTGCAAAAATATTCCCCGAGCCGACGGCGCGAAGCGCCGTGCGAGGGTACTAATCCCCCCGGCTATTTACACCCGGGGAAACGAAAGCATTAGCGAAAACTAAAGTTCATCAATTATCGCGGGCGTGGGTGACCAACGATGTTGGGTGGGTCATCCTCACTGATCTCAAAAATATGGCGGACTGTCATGAATAGCGGACACTGATTGGTCCAATTTAAAGTTTGCATTATAACGACTGCATGACGACAGCGAAATAGCAAACATTTCTTGATTTGATGATTGATAAATTTCTTGCAAACATATTTCATTTTTGCTCGCATTTTTGCAAGATTTTGTAAATTTCAAAAGCTCTCTTAGAAAGAAACTGCCGAAGAATCGGCTAAAAGAAGGGATCCGACGTTAAGGAAGGCAAGTTTGTTTTAAATATTGATTTTATAATGGCTTTAAAACCCGACGGCCTTTGGCTTTGCGTGTATGAAACAACTAAACAAGACAGCATATAATTTCAATTCAGTGTATCTTTAATATTGATTCCCTTTTTTATGATATTGAATTTTTTAAATAAAAAAGAAAGCAAAGTTATTTGCAAGCGAGAATTTGAAATCATTTTATTGCAAACCAAAGTTTATCGATAAAGCCATTTTAAAAGGCAGTTTAGTTTTATAAAGAACACTAGTGACTATAACAATATTCGTTGTTATATAGTTGGTGTCAAAGTTCAATTTTTCTGTTTGCCGATTGGTCAAAACCGTATCACGTGCCGGTCCACAAAACGTCATGTTCGGCAACCGGTCCGCAATGAAACCTTTATTGACCGGTCAATAATAAAATGGGTGCAATACGCATGCGTGTCAACCATGAAGTTCCAAAGTTCATTTTTAAACTTTTTACTAAACATTTACGGCGTTCCATTTATCCAGTTTTGGTTTCAAATTAAGTTCACTCCAATAACCGGTGAATTATTCATACTTTGACACTTATATACTATATAACAAAACACTTATTTACTGAGACCTCGGGAAAGCAGTGTGTTTTGTGGCCCCTCGACCAACGGCGGTCTCGGGTCCACAAAACACACTGTTTCCCTCGGTCTCAGTAAATAAGTGATAATTGTATGAATTTAATATAGTTTTAGGAGGTTAAGACGGAGGTTTATTTTTAAGAAGACTTCTACTAAGCCAGTTTGCCGAGTACCACTTCTCGCCCGTTGCATACAAGACGTAAAAATCATTAGTTTGCTGTTGTAACGAGAGTGAGGGCGACGTCTAAAACTCCCAAGGGACTTCTAATTATTCATTTCTCAATAACGCTATATCATAAATTCCATTGTATGTCTTGTATTAATAGCCGTTGCCGTCTTGCTACTAAGGTCCCTATTGTATTTGGTACGCTGTTTGAATCACTGCCGTATAACGTGCGTTCCGCACATGAAGAGTACGCCGTGTGAAACGGGCTTTAAGGTCTCTAATACGAAGACAAGGCTTATTTACCCACCCTCCTCCTTCTAACCAGCCCAAAAACCAATCCCGAACGAATTCGAGGCGAAGTGAGAAACTGTAAACAAATATGAAGATGATCCAAAACAGGATCAAGAGCAAAATGTAACCTGAAAAGATAGAACAAAGGTGTAAAAATCTCGCTAAACCTAAAATGACGGGGGGGGTGTTGGGCACCAAATGCATCAATTTCTGTTGATGTCATGTTAAAATTGGGTTTTCTAAAATAACTGCAACACTACTGTCAAATATATAAATCCATTCTTTATCGATCCCTGATTCCGCTCGGCCCCAGGTAAAAGAAGACCAATGAGCTGAGGAAGTCTATGAGAGTGAAAAGTCCATATAATCAATAATCACGAGAGTTCGTGACTTCGAGTGATAGGTGGACCTCCCATTGATCTCACTCACGTAAGTAACTGACACTAACGTAAATATGACTTTTGGTATATGTAAAAAAACTCATCTTGGAAAACTTTTTCATTGTCAAACTTGCCAGATATGATGTCATCATGTCATTATATAAAATGTAAACTATTAATATTTTTTCTTTTTATGTTTGTAGACCTACGTCATTGGAATTTCTGCACGGTCTGTGAAATATATTTGTCGAATGTGTAACCATAATATGAGTGTGCGCTGGTCGAATGTGTAAATTAAGGCAAATAGAAAGCCAAGCACAGTTTACACAAGGGTCAGTGACAGTAGAATATTAGCGCACGAAGTCTTTGGGATATATTTGTCGAATATTGAAAGCAAGTTGAATGTCATTACCAATACATATGGGATCGAATATGTCGTTGTTTAATTTAATCATCACTAAATAAAGAATATGTCGATCCGGAAAACATCGTCCTTATATCTTTGCATGGACTATCCTTCAAATTGTATACGCAGCCTGTAAACCTGATCCTTTGATGTATGCTGTCCTTGCACAAGAACTCTTCTTGTGTTAAGTGTTCATCGTACTGTCTGAATTTCGTCCTGTGAAGTATTTTGTTTCGTATACATATTAAAGACCTTGTACTGTTCTGTCTGTTCAGTGTGCGCAAATTATTTTTGACACATTAAAATACTTTGTAACTTCTTAGATCTGTTTATGCTTATTGAAAAATGCACGTAACAGTCGTTTACGTATTTTTGTTATATCTGATGTTTTGTATGTGATTAAATGTGTATAATATTTCAACTGTGTTCAATTTACTTAATACTTTCTTTCAGTAAATTCAGAATTTGACAATAGCGATTAAGATGGAGTAATATGGGCATTGCTGTAACTTGCAACAAATCTGATTTATGTGCATGTTAATTGAAAATGTTTACACATACATTACAAATCACGAGGCAACATGTGTCAACCGTTGAAATCAAATTTTGTTACAAGTTGCAGCAATTTTGTTGCTCGTATTACTCCAGCTTTAGCAACAATGCAGGCTACCCACATGTACGCAGCGCGTACCTATTTTTTACTACTAAGATGTATTATAATTTCTTCTTAGAATTACCCAAATATTATTTATACTAAACAAGAATATTTGGGATATTAGTGGCATACAATCAAGGAACACCTACCCCACAAAAAGTAGCCAATCTGAAAACTATGGTATTTTAATCCTGTCCCCTAGGAAAAACAAACAGTATTATATACACCACAGATATACACAAGGTCTGGATATGAGGTATTCTGCCTCTCTCCTCCGCAGAGGCTTAAGTTGCGTTCTTTCCCGCCTGCGCTCCTTCGCCCAGCGCCTGCGCTCGTGTTCCAAGATCCGCCATGTAAAGTTTAGTGAAATGTATCTCAATACTAATTGTAATCATAGCCAACAGAAGCCTCTGCAGAGGAGAGAGGTATTCTGCAATCTGATTGGTTCTCTACTAGCTGGATATTAGCTCATATCTTGCTATTAGAAAAAACAAAATGGCGGCTCAAACTGAATTTCCGACGTTTTGCGAACGAGAAAACGGCAAGTTGTTTGCTTTTTGTAGCCTTTACAGGATTAAAAACACAATGAAAAACTCCCACAAATTGTTTACAGGTTAGCAAATGAATTTTTAAAATTAAAATGGTTAAAAATATATATTTTGAAAAAATAATCGGCCGAAATAGCGAAGATAAAAACATAAACAAAATATCCGAAAAGCAAAGTCTGTGAATTCAGACCTTGTGTATAATAAAACAATTATTCCACTTTAGTGACGAAAGTGGATCATGCACTTTGAATTGGTTACGCAACCCTCGAAATTCAACTATTTTGCCTCTGCAAATAATTGCCGAAGTCTTTTGATAATTTTCGAGTTTGCCTCGGCAATGCCTCGGCATTTTTTCCGAGGCACGCAATGAAATCACCTTAAATTCCTTCGGCAATTAGCCTACTTCGGCACCCTTCGGCATTCACGTCGGCAGTTCCTGATTCAAAATGTTTTTAAGAAGTTTATAGTGGTAATTAACAACAAATTGTATGAAAGAATAAACAAGATTGTTCTTTATTTCAGCCGAAGCCGACGCTGAAAAGCTCAAATTTAGGTATTTTGTAAAGTAGCTATGAATGAAATCTTCTGTTGTTCACCCGACGTCGATGACAACAATCCGAACAAAGAAGTGATGCAAAGAACGAACACTGTAGTTTGTAAATTTAAGCAAAAAAAAACAACGAACAGACACTGTAGTTTATAATTTAAGGTACAACGGGTGGAATTGCCTCGGCATTTTCTTGCCGAGGCAAACTATGAAAAATCGTAACTTGCCTCGGTATTTGCGTCGGCAATTGCCGAGTGCCGAGGCGAATTTCTAGGGTTGTAATTTACGGCCATGTTTTATTTCCTTGCGTATACGACAGAAAACGGCAACGTTTTCCACAACAAGTCTCTTTGTGTGAAAGTTAGCTGTTTATGCTTGTTTTTTTAAACAGTAAAAACTCAATAAATAGCCTTGGCATTTCGCAACAACCATGCAGACACGCCTATAAAACGTGTGTTCGAGCAACAAAACTTCAATGGAAACTTGTCAAGGAAAACTTGTTGACCGCGTACACACGAGAAGGTAAACTTGTCAAGAGAAGTTTGTCAAGGAAAATATGCTCGTCTGTAGGGGGCTTAAATGTTGAAAATTTCATACTAAAAGGGAAATATCAGTATATCGCTCAACTTACAATCATGGACTGTGACACATTAATCGTCGGAGGAATAAATGATTTATCTCCTTTGAACATCCTTAGCATGTTGTTCCTATAGATAAAATATAAAAAGAAAACTTAAAATTGTGTGAAACCACAGGTTAGAAGTGCCCACAGCTACAATCGCCGAGTGCAAAAATTATGAGACTTTTCACATTTTTGTCCATTTTAAAGTACGTCGGCCTCCCCCATGCCCCCATGCATGATCAATGTTGGAAAAAGTGGGTTGAATTTTCTCTTCTCAGTCATTCACACAACATTGAATTGGGGGTGAGGGGGGCATTATGCGCTTGTCTCAATAATTTTTGCTCCTGATTGTAGGTGTTTATAATACAGAAATATTCATATTCAACCATGAATGAAATTATATATTGCATAAAATTTAAAACAGAAAAATTTAAAACGCAACTATAAGATTTGCATCATCCATAGCTGGTCATGTGGCCGCGACCCAAAATCCCCCCTCCCCCCTCCCCCAAATATTTTGCGAAGTTTCCATCTCTGAATGTACCTATAACAATCGCTCTAACGAATAGCCCTAACAACGATCGAGGGTGCCTTACCAAGGAACAAAAAGGCCTGGGTATGAGGTTAAGAACAGTTGTCAGGGAAATTTCCCAAAAATTTTTGTCCAGGAAAGCATGTTCGCCTGTGCGGAGATTTAAACATACTTATGATTTTCCAGGAAACGTATAAGAGAGATAACACACACTATGGCAGCAAAAATAGCAGCAGCGATCAACGTACCTAAACGAGAAAACGTTATAAAATCTATATGCCCGGGAAACATTGAGTAATATATGTTGCGTTTTGTAAATGCATTTACTAACAACCAGTGTGGATTATAGCAATTTTGCTTGGGTCTGACAAATGTCCGCTAAAGTGTGAGTTCCTCGGACATTGGCTAATAATGGTCGGCCAGCTTTCAATATTTCCATTGATAGCTTATGCTAATCACTTCCCACATGACCATGCTTGTTGCCCTTTTGGCATTGGGAGTCCATTCTTCAAGCTTCCAGTGTTGTAAAATGTTTTAACGCAAATTTTCGAGTAGACATTTACCAAAACTCGATGCTTACATGCAAGCGTTGCGCCATCTTGATTCTTACCATTTAAATTTGAATCTCAAATGAGAATAATTTTAATACTTGGACAACAGCTTTACATGCAATTCCAAACGGTGGAAAAATGCGATTTCCAGCGGCATTTTTAAATCGTATCGTTTCTGGCTTTTTGATCGCAATAATACAAAAAAGGTACCATTCGACAGCTAAGGTTGTACGAAGGTCGGATAATTAGCGTATACGGTATATATAGACGCTGCATGCGGAAAGTGAAACGCGGGTTGTGTTTTGTCTAACTTAGCATTTATTTCTTAGTCACTATATAGCCAGCAGTTTACTAAATAGCCGGCTGCAGTTTACTAAATATTGAGCCGGCTGCTGGAAATGTTTTTTTCATAGCAACCATGGAATTCCTTTGCGCAGATACATGTACGCCTAGCGTAGTACTACATATTTTTTGAATTGGCTGTATAATTCACGATAACATGCTAAAGTTCGATTACCTTTTCTTTTATACACCCTGTGTAGATGTACACAAAAAACATATAATCAAAAGTAATTTTCTAAAAGTAAGAAAAACTCGATCCTAACTTATCGTGCTCGGAAACGAAAAGTAAACTGCAGTTTTAAAAGTTGTTTTCAACTATATAAAGAAACAAAAATTTTGCATATCAACTACACTCTTGGCCAAAAGTGCGTAGAACGACTAAACAAATTCGCAACTTTTTAGTATACTTGGGTTTTCTACTACACGTGATATTTTGTCTGCATGTACAATATGTTAAACCATATAAATATAGACGAAACGTCAACATTGAATCGGGGGAGGGGGGAGGCCTTGAAAATGCACAAAAATTTATCATCGTTCTACAGTTAATTTATGGCCAAGATTGCAGATAAACATAAATTTTGTTTCCGATGACCTAATTTACTCTGTAAAGAAAATGTAATGAAATATGAAGTATAAACTAACCAAACACACCAGGTGCAATAATGCCTAATCTAGAGTTATCAAGTTTGTGCAGCGACAGAATTCCCAGCAACACGAACACGAACGACACCTACAAGGAAACATAAGCCTGATTTACATAGAGAAGAATCATTCGTTTAGACAAAGATCCCAGCTAGACGGGAAATTTGCCCTATATAAGGCCGGATGGCATGTCTATATCGACAAAATACACAGCCATGAGTTAAGTAAAAGGTTTATGTGGCGAATTTCCCGTTCCGGATTTTTGAAATAGTTCACTTGAATTTTAGATGACTTCCTTGTAAGCTAAATTTACTAGTTTGTTTGTCTTATTAATTCACTAGTTTGTTTGTTTGCCATATGGATACTTTTTATTCTATAAAGTTAAAAAAAAATCGATTTAAAAATTGTATGACTCACCGCGAAAAGTACAACAGAGCACATCATGACCACGGAAAGAGTTTGTGTCGAGAACTTAAAATCTGTACAAAAAAGGGAAAAATTTGGAACTTGGTTGTCATGTTGTTGAACTGTACTGAATAGAACTAAAATAACCATTAATCAGTGTTGAATACAGTTATAGTTTGATGACATATAGGCTATGTTGGTTATTGCACGTGCCTTTCACCCTCGCTCTACGTACGGGGCTCGGTCCGCAACACTTACTTTTCTCGGGATTGTAAATTTTCCTCAAGAAGAGCCCCAGTTTTGAATGGCAGGAAGGTCTACAAATGAAGCGAAATGTTTGATTCGTACTATTTGGTTTTCTGAAAACTATAGGATTAGATACTGTAGCTACATGAGTATAAATGAAGTCGATGGCCGCCATATTAACCGAGTGACCCCCAAAACTCTATCGGTGTGCTGTGGGAGGGGGGTTGGGGTTGGCACCAAAGAGAAAAGGGTTGGAGAAACAAAATTTTGAGAGAGTAAAAGGTTGGGCAAATGAAAAACAAAACAACAGTCAAGGGTTGCGGTAATAAAACAATTCTTGTCATTTCCAAAGCATGACTCACTCAATATTGAGGACTAAAAAGCAATGTCAATTGTCATATGTCATATATATGTGTAGTTAGATATCGCTCTATGGCCTTTAGGTGATATTGAGCGCTCTACAGGATGAGCCATGCCGCTTACGCATTGCGCACGCTCACTGCTTGCAGTTTGAGCGCTCTGGCATGGTTTTGATGTCCCACAATCGTGAGGGCATCAAAGGTAACTA